CCCTCCGTCTCGCCCACCTGTTTGGTCGTGTGCCTCTGGATGTCCTGCACACTCATGGTGACCGGCAGAGTGCAGCGGCCGAACTGCTCCGCCAACTTCAGCGCGTTGACCACCTCGGTCCACTGCTGCGTGTCCACCAGCCAGATGGCCTTCAGCAGCAGAGGGCTCTCCAGCTGAGTGTCGAATGCGATAATGCCGTCCAGCTGTTTGGCCGCAAGGGAGCGCCCCAGCCGGGTGCGGAGGACGGCAGTCGAGAAGTCTATCTGCCTGAGGAATGTTGCTGTGCATCTGAGGATACCGACCTCCCTGTGTTCATTGATGGCATCCCGCTCCTCGCGATGGATGAAATCTATCGATTCGTTGCCTCTTGCCGGAGGGATGGGCTGCCGGCTGCTGGGCACCGTCACATCATTCCCCATCGTCTCACTCCACTCACCACCTCGAAATCTTTGCGAGCTCAAATGCAAAAGCGATCGTGCCAAGAAGAGAAGGGAAGCAGGCCGCCTCGCAGAGTGCTAAGGGTGTGAGTGCGTCGGTGAAACGACCCCTGAGTCCGCATCACCGAGACATCCATTCATGAGTGTGTGGACTCTTATCGCCACTGTGAAATGCATACATGGAGTCCTGGACGCGTATGGCCCGCGACACTTTGCAACGGGGCTACTACTCAAACCCCTCTAATTGTGGAGGGCCAACGTGTTGGGAGGGAAGAGAGGCGCTGCATCGACGACTAAAGCCACATTTAGCTCATGTCTGCAGTGAGACTCATTAGTGATTCATCATTCATTCCCGATTAGTGGTTGAGTCGCGTCTATTCACATGTATAGAGTAGAGAGAAGTCAGCCACGTCAGTCAGTCAGTCAGTCAGTTGCGAGCACGAAAAGCCACAAACGTGCTGTGTGATAGACAGACAGACAGACGGACAGACAGACAGACAGAAAGACAGACAGACGGACAGACGGACACGGGTCAACCACCCTCCATTTGTGTGGTCGTCGCGGGAAATGAGCTTGAGGCGGCTGCCGAGGGAGGCTCGGATGCACGACGCACACACGCACCCAGTGTGCACAGGTGAATCGCGCATCCCTATGTCTTTGTCGCGCGGCGTGTGCCTACGCGTTTCTTCAGCTCGTTGACTTCACAGCGAAAACTGAGAGCAGGCAGAAAGAGAGAGAGCAAGGCTCTTGTTCATGTGTGTGTTTGGTTGTCCTGTTGCCCGCATGTGTGCTTCAAAGGGGAAAAGGAGACTCGCGTCTATTCACACGTACTACAGAGTAAAGAGAAGCCAGCCACGTCAGTCGGTCAGTTGCGAGCACGAAAAGGCACACACGTGCTGTGTGATCGACAGACAGCGGTCTCGCGGTGAAAGGGTGAAGGTGAAGACTGATAAAGGGTGAAGCGTCGCCTCTCGCCGGTGGCGAATGGACGAATCACGGTGGTCCACTGCCGCTTCAGATCAGCGCGCATCCACACATGCGCTGGCAAGACACGGACACGCACGCGAACACACAAAAACGAAAGGTGACGGCTGCCTCCACTCACGAGTGCTCTTTGCTCACCGAGGGCCGGTGACACTGTGGGGGTGTCCGTGATGTCGGCCGAACCACCAATGTGCAGGCGCCTTCGACGGCATCGTCATCATGACTGGCGCTGCCACTGCTGCTTGATTGGTGCGGGGTGCAGTGGGACCATCAGTGCGAGGCGCCACTGCATGTCGTCGTGGTCGGTGATGAAGCGTGCAAGGGTGGGGCACCTGCTGAAGGCGTCGAGCAGCGACTTGCAGAAGCGACGGTCATCAAACCAGTCACTGGCGGTCGCCTGCACAGCACACACCAAACACGACAAATGATGAGGGAGGCAAACTTCATGCACCGAGCCGCCTGCATATCTTTCGCATCACCTTACTGCTCATCTGACTCAGCAAGCTCGCCTCCATCTGATATGAGGTGAGGAAGAGCAGGTATGGGCGTCGTACTGGAGGAAGTCAAGAGCGATGAATGCGTCGATGAAGGTGTCCTTGGTCAGTCAGTGACCTCATAATGCCCCCCCGCCTTTTTCTGCAGCACCACTGACGCTATCTCCCGACTGACGACTCCTGCGATGACGACCTCAGTTGCAGTGCCCTCCTGAAACTCGCCATCCAGCACCTGCATGTATTGAACAACACACACGTTGAACCGACAGCAATGAATGACAGTCATGAGCGCAAAGATCCTGCTGACCTGCTGAAAGTAGGCAAATCGCTTGGCCACGCTCTCCTTTATGACAAGAGGCGGTGCTTCGTCACCATCCTTGGCGAAGCGGATCTCACGCTCCATCGAAAACTCACTCACGCACTCACTCAAGGGCGATTGCAATGAAAGATGAAGAAGGCGCACGTCGTTCCAGGGGCTTGACGTGTCCCGTGTTGCAGATCTGTTCTCTTCGGTCGCCCTGTCCGGCGCGAGCTCGAAAGCTCGCCAAAAAAGGAGGCAAAAGAGCACCTCATAGAGGAGGCACAAAAAGCACCTCATCATGAGCGTGGTCAAGAGCCGTGACGAGGTTGCGCTGCTCGTGAAGTTCTGGAACCAAACAGGTGAGGCAACGAACCACCCAGCCGAGAGAGAGGAAGATGGGCTGGTGCACAGCAGAGGGCACGGGAACACCTGTAGGCGTATGTATGTTGTGCACTGCATTGTGTTCTGTCTGTCTGAAACAGAGGGCCGTGACAAGTTCTGCAAGTGTCTTCAGTATGGGTGTCGTGGGCTGGCGTGGCTCCTCATGGAAGAGAAGGACCTCGCGGCACGACTCTCCGCCTTATACAGTGAGTGAGCCGACTGACTGATACACATACCATGTCATGCACACACAGACGACGCGCCATCTCATCTGCTGCCTTTCTGCTTGTGTGGTGTGCGTCGATGATGACACAGAGACGACGGCTGACAGTCGTAAGATCTTCCGTCTTGGCAAGTTCCTGAACGAGTACCTGAAGCTGCAGCAGCTGTTCAAGTCGACGGACCCGCAACTGGACCAGCTGTCCAAGTCGCTCAACGTCCTCAACCGGGCGGCCTTCTTCGCCTACTGGGTGTGCGACAACCTCTCCATCCTCAGCAAGATCAAGGTCATCAAGGGCGACACGCCCAAGCTCGCCAAACGCGCCTTCCTCTTCTGGTTCCTCGCACTCGTCTTCGGTGTCCTCGTGGAGCTGCACAAGCTCCAGAAGAACCTAGACCTACAGATCCAGCTGCAGCAGCAGCAACAGCAGCAGCAGAGTGCGGCGGCCAAGAAGAATTCGAGTGACGGGGGCGAGGGGGAGGGCGAGCGCGCCACGGCTGCCACAAGTGAGGCGCTGAGCAAGCTCGGGACCGAGAGGAGGAACATCGCCCTCAACATCATCAAGAATTGCGGTAAGTAAGGGGAGCGGAGCAGTCAGCGGTGTGCCTGACTGAGATGGGATCCATGGGTTCATACATCTGTGTTCTGTCTTGTATCATGCATGTGTTCAGGTGACATGATCACTGCCGGCAACGGCATCGAGCTGCCCCACAAGATCCTCGGTGAGCAGCCGACCCGACCCGACGGACACACAGACAGAAGGATGGGGGCCAACAAACATTCACTCTCTCCTCTCTCTGTGTGCGTGTCGGCTGCAGGCTTTGGTTTCAACGATGGATTGATTGGTCTGGGCGGCTTCGTGTCGGCGTTTATTTCATGCTTCCAGACCTACCCCGCTGCATAGTCATTGATGCCTGCCTGCACGAATGAATCAGTGGCCTGGCCCACACAGGTGCGTGTTCAGCACCGGTGTGGTGTGCGCCTGTCTCACTTTCGCTGTTTCCGCTGACTTTTCATACATGTTCTTTCTCGTTCGTATGTTTGTGCTTGGCGGGCGATACGTACGTGTGTGTGTTTGTGCATACTTTTTGATATCCGAAGCGCCCAGTCGCCACTGAGTACGTGCCGTGCCTGTCGACACGTCGCCGGCTCGCTTTCCCTTGGAGCCGCACCAGACGAGTTGATGCCATCGGTGAGTGGCAGAATGAATGCCTAAGGCTGCCTGCCATGTGGTGTGGTGTGAGTGGGGGGTCCCCCGTCTGTGTCGTGTGAATGCGTGAGGGAGAGAGAGTGTTCTACATGGTGGAGTGGATGCACGGATGCGTGTGTCGGTGTTTGTCTTGCCGGTGTCCGATTCTTGATCAAGTGGACATCACATGCAGGCGATTTGTATACTGCCAGCCAGCTGTGTATCTGTGTGTGTAACCATAGAACACCGACCGACCCACCGATGGATCACGCGTAGCGTGCACAGAAGGATGCATGGCATGCAATGAATGCACCAACCACTGGCTGCGACACTGCGACGCTTCTATCCATGAGTGAATGCAAACACGTCCGGTCCATTGCTCACTCACTCACTAAAGGGCCAGCCAGGTTCAAGAGTTCAACCGTAAAAGTTTTTGGAAACTCGCAACAGTCTGCACACACACACACACACGCACAAACAGACAGAGCTAGCTGCCGATCTCAACCAACATGCGTGTGCGTGTAGGGTACCTACCTGTTCGACGAGTCGTTTTGCGTGCTGAACAGACCTCTCGTCCTCCCCCTGTATCTTGACCGTCGTCCCCTCCACCACGATGGTCGCACCCGACTCATCCTGCATCCGCCGAATGTTCTGCCCCCTGACCAGACCAACACACACACACACACATACACACACACAATTTACGAGACAATTTGTGGTCGTCCCCGCCAGAGCAGAGCCGCTGGCTGGCTGACCTTGGCCCAACGATGCGGCCGACGGCTCGGTCATCATCTAGGTAGACCTCCGCGTTCTGCTGGTTCCAACGTTCGTGGTCACGACACACCCTGTCAGACATACATTGCATTGCATTGCAGAGGTGCCACGGTCGGTCGATCTCAAAGCTTTGTTTCCGTGTGTCTGTGCTGTGGTTAATTACCTGGTTTTGGCACTGTTGACCGCATTGGGTCGGCCACACAGCCACAGACGGCTGTTGTCCCGATCCAGGGAAGCCACCAAGTCACGACCTTGCAACCGAACCTGTCAGACACATGACAAACACATCACATCGACTCGTGAGGGATGATGAACTAACTGTGTCCTGTCTGTCCGGTGTGTGGCGGTGCGGTCGATTTGCAATGCCCACACACACAGACCAGTTTGCTGTCGTCTCTGCCGGCCATGTACTCGACTGACGAAGGATGCAGGTACATCATGAAGCAGTTGTCGGGAAAGTAGTAGGACAATATCTGACAGACAGAGGGGCACGAAGAGGTCATGTGGTGCAGCTAGCTGTCCGTTCCTCTGTGTCTGTCTGCCACAATACATACATACCTTCTGGAACTCTTCGATGGCATGTGAAGTCGCATCGGGGCTGCCAGTGATGGTGGCCTTGGTAGACGTGGGCTGGTACACACACACACACACACACGCACACATCAATACGCCCTTGCCTCTGAGCTCGCTTGGTGTTAGTCACCTGGAAGTCGACATGGACCTGCAGTTTGTGCCTGATGTGTTCGTCGATGTCAGCCATGAGGTCGCTCATCTTTTGCGGCTGCACGCCAGTGAAGATGTCAGGCAGCAAGGGCAGGAAGTCACGGGCACCACCAGCACCCACCAGCGCCTGAATGCAGTACACACACACACACACACACACGCAGGCAGACAGACAGACAGACGGACAGACACACAGACGGACAGACACAGACATACAGAGCCCGGTGCGTGTGCCGTATGTATGAGGCAGCTAGCTTACCTCTACACACTCCTTGGCTTCCGCGACGAGTGCTTTGAGGCCTTTGAGCGCAACAGCTGTCCCCTGATCGTCCTTGACACAGTCAACCTACCAACAAGGAAACCCTCATACCCTACCAATGGCTGAATGAGATCTGCATTGCATTGCTTGCTGACCTTGAGTCCCGCATCCTTGAGCTGTTGCAGCCCGGCGTCGCCATTGAGCAGCCTAAGCTTGTCCGCAGGCACGCGCACTGTCATTGTCTCCAGACGGGAGGCGTCCTAGAGCATACGCATACCACACCACACCCATACAGGGGGAAGAAGAACACACTATCGACGAGCGCATGAGGGTCACGTTTCCTGTGGCCTTCTCTATCTATTGCTCACGTACGTTGATTTGGCTGAGTATGGCCTCCTTGGCCTGGTCTGCCGTCTGCTGTGAGCCGTCATTGGCCGTCACTCTGACATCCTTCCGATCAAGCACGATAGTGACACCCATATCACCCTGCAACCACACACACACCCACTCGTCCGTCACGTGAGCGTGACGTGACTTGTACTCTATCTGGCTGACCTCAAGTTTCATGAGTCCCATCTTTTTGGTAATGAACCCCATGGCGTGTTCATCTACGTTGCGAATCAGACATGTGCCCTCCCCGCCGATGATGCCGCACACAAGCCGCTTGGCGTGAGCCACTGCACTCGGGTCACCTGCAGTGCAGTGCAGTGCAGTGAGGGACAGACACAGAAGCCAGTTGTGTTGTCCCATATATCCCTGTGACCGTTGCTTGTGCCCACTGACTGACCGACCTGAAATCTGCACTTCCAATTTATCACCATTGACAGACACCCGCGCGCCGCTCTGTGCCTGGATGTCCTTGACCACTGCACAAACGCATTCACACAATTAACAGATCAACACACACATGCGTTGCATGCCATGGGCCAGGCAGTGCACCTGATCCTTGCTGGCCGATGACGCGACCAACGTCCCTCTGCAAACAAACGCAACATAGATGGCGATTCCCGCTTTCTTCACTGTGGTATGTATCGCTGCGCCACTCACCGGATCAGGGATCTTGACCACTTCGTTCGCTCGGCCGCTGTTGCCAGATCTTCCATTTTGAGTATTGTAATACGACATGGCGGCACTCCTGGTGCTCCTGATGGTGAACTACGCCAGGGAGTTCGCTGTTTTTGAAACCCGCGATCCGTTTCAAGCTCGCATAGGTCTGGGCGGCGTGTTCGTTGCCTTCTGTGGTCAATGCTGATCTCAGACGTAACCCCATTATTCATCGTTTTTCTTTCTGCCCTCACCGGATGGCTCGACGTGGCCTTCAGCTTCATGGTGGCACCCTCGGCTCCCGCTCGCCATGCATCTCGCTCCCTCGACCCATCCAATCCCCACCTTTCATCATCCCAATGGTTTCCATCACGACGGAAAGAACCTTGGTTGGTTGTGATGATGGGTCGTCGTGCGGCCAAGGTGGCGGAGAAGAAGGCCAAGGGCGAGGCCGCCAAGAGCAAGATCTACAGTAGGTACGGCAAGAAGATTGCAGGGGCCATCAAGACGGGAGGCAGTGACCCACTCAACAACATGGAGCTGGCGTCGTTGATTAAGGAGGCAAAGGCCGCAGGTAGGCTACGGGGAGCGGCAGCATTGCATTGCACACACGACACGAGGCAGGCACACGATCGGATCGCCCCTGTGTTGTGTGGTGGTGCTCTGGTGGTCATACATGTGTGTCATGTGTATACATGTGATGTATGTCAAAGGTGTTCCGAAGGACAACATAGATCGATTGCTCAAGAAGGCTGACGATGCCCCCGACTACACCGAAGTCATCTATGAGGTCAGCCACTGCACTCACTGCAGCACACACAGCACACACAGACACTGCACTGCACTGCCCTGCCCTGCCCTGCACACAAACGATACAAACGCACACACAGTCCGGTCTGTCTGTCAAGTCTGCAATGCGTCCCTACCGTCCGTATCGCATCGCCATCGCAGGTGTACGGTCACGGCGGTGTGGGTATGCTGGTCACTTGCCTGACGGACAACACCAACAGGGCGGCCAGTGTCGTCAAGGCAGCGGTAGGTGGAATACGCCACTCAACAACACAACGACGATTGTACAAGTGCTATTTCCCTCTCTCTCGCTCTGTCTGTCCCTTTGTGATTGCATTGCAGGTGAAGAAGGCGGGCGGCAAGGACGCCTCGCCGGGCTCTGTGTCTTTCCAATTCACCAAGATGGCCAAGATAGAGATCCCTGAGGACAGGGCGGCCGACCTGGACGAGGACAAAGTGTTCGAGATTGCGCTCGAGTCATCCGTCGACGACATCGATATCCGGCCGGCACCGCTGAGGCCTGACATCGAGAATAATGAGGATGGTTCCACTCCCGTACCGCCCAAGTGGGTGCTGACGACGCCCAACTCCCTGAAGGCGCTGAGGGACGCACTTGAGGCGAACGGCATTGAAGGTAAATGTGTGGGGGACACATAAATGGGGGACAAATGAGCCGAAGAGGTTTGATGTGAATGTCTCGCGTGTCTTGCTTGTTGTGTTTCGCTGTCGCGTCCAGGATCGACGTCGCTGGCACACATTCCCAATGCGCTCGTGGACTGCTCCGAAGAGGAGCTGGAGAAGAACCTAGGACTTATCGGTAGGGCTGACAGCTGAGAGAGATGTGCGCTCTTCTTTGGTCATTGATTGCCTTCTGGTTTGTTGTCTTTGCCTTTGCCTTTGTCTGTCGCAGATGCGCTTGAAGACATTGATGACGTTGACATGGTCGAACACAACATCAGCTTTGCATGACATGACGGGACGGACGGCCACAGCTGTGCTGTGCATGTAAGTCAGCTGAGGGAACGGGTGGTCTGCTAATGCAGCAGATCGATGATCAATGATGGGACGGACGGACATGGAGACAGACATTCTTGAAATGGGTGGGTGTTACACTACACGCCTCTGCTGGATACCTACCTATCGTTCGTTCGTGCACATTTTCGTTAGATAGAGACGTCACAGACAGTCACGTCGATGCAGCTAGGCGACTATACAGCAATCTGTCAGTCACTTCTGACACACACACAGTCTCGTGTGTCGAGCAGCGGTCAGGTCGACAGAGAGAGCACCAAGTGGGAAATGTATGAGCACCCGACCCCGCTCAGCCGTTCCTTGACGGCTTGCTCGACGCACCAGCTCGAATGCCAACTCTGCCCGAATGACCCGTGAGCCTTCGTTTAGAGTAGACATCCCAGCTGCCACGCCGAACAAATCGTCGCGGAACAAACCAGCCATACAGACGTCTGGGTGGTTCGCATCAACCTCATCATTCTCCCCACTACCACACACACACATCGATGAATGACCGCATCTATCTCATCACTCCCGCACCACACCGCACCGCACCGCACCAATCTGTCTGTCCGTTCGTTCGTTCGTCCTAGGATCGATTGCTGTACAGGTAGGTACAGACCACTTGGAGAAGGAAAACACTCGTGCATCTTGACGAGAGAGATGTCACGGCATGAGTGTCTGTCTCATTGATTCATTGATTGATGGTCAGTCGCACCACTAGCCAGCTAGCCAGCCAGCCAGACAGACAGGCAGCAAAGGGGAAAGAAAGCGAAGCGTCATCAGTCCATCAGTCAGTCCATCAGTCAGTCAATCCACTCATGGATTGACTAACGCTATGCCATGCTATGCTATCAACGGACGGAGGGAAACAACGGAAGGATACGTGTGTTATGTACAGCGAGGGGGTAGGGGGACAGATAGACATCGGTATGTCTGTATGGGTAGGTACGTGTGTGTTTGTGTGGTGGTGAGTGATGGTATGGTTGATGTGATGTGGTGTGGTGTGGTGAATGACTTAAACAAAGCCCCCGCTCATGGCTTGCGCTGAGTGGTAGGGGTTGAAGTTGTGCACCTTCAGCAAGTTGACGCCTGACCACACACACACACGCGCGCGCGCGCAGAGATAGAGAGACAGAGAGAGAGAGAGAGAGAGGGGGGGGGGGAAGAGAGGCG